TTGGCGCCTGCGGCGGGCTTTTCCAGAGTCCAGCAGACGGCCGACGCCCCCACCGCCCCCTCACTCTTATCCGCAGTTGCGGGGTACTACGTATTACAAGATTGACATACTACTGTGCGACACCACAGCCATCATCACAATGTTCGAGTACTACTGCCATCACCGCTACTGGACCATAATACTACTACTACGAGTACATTACTACTACTCCAGTACTACTACGACTACAACGACATGATACAGATGCGCTACTTATCACGGCGCTGCGGTACGAAGGTACGGCTTCCGTGCTTGAGTGTTACAGTATCGGATTTCAATTATTGCTGCAGCCAGTATTAACATTATACTGGAACGGTACCCGAGTACCACTACTGCAGTATTGCCGCGACAGTGCTATAGTACGACGATTACAATGGTACTGCGACGGCAGTACAATACTCGACCACTACAGCATCGCTGCGATACTACAGTATTTGATAATTCACGTTGCCGTAATTTTGCAAATTCACGGCAAGAACTATTTGATTGTTGCTCTTACGAACATATATATATATATATATATATATATATATATATATATTCGCGTACTGGCTCTATACCGCCATGAACAACATCGTACAATATTATTCTTACACTGCTACTACTTCAACACCACAGTCCGAATGTACGGTTTATGTATCCGAATACCACAGTAGTGGCTTCTTTTTCAACTACGGCACTACAGTGCTACAGCTGAAGCGAGTACGCGAGTACGATATTTACTGCAAGCGTTGGGTACTACTACTACTACTACTACTACTACTACTACTACTTCTACTACTACTACTACATCTCGTACTACTACTACTACTACTACTACTACCACTACTACTTATACTATTACTGCTACTACTACTATTATTACTACTATTATTATCATTATTACTACTCCACCACTACTAGTACCAGTACTAATACTACAACTACTACTACTACTACTACTACTACTACTGCCACTACTACTACTACTACTACTACTACTACTACTACTACTACTACTACTACTACTACTACTACTACTACTGCTACTGCTACTACTACTACTACTACTACTACTACTACTACTACTACTACCACTACCTCTACCACCACCACTACCACTACCACTACCACTACTACGAATACGTTACCCCTACTACTACTACCACTACTTCTACCACTGTTACTACAACTACAAGACGATGATAGCGCTGTTGCGCCATTGCTGAACAACTACTTCGGCAGCTAAAACATGCGGCAGTCGTATACCATTACTCATACTACAATATTGCAGTACGACTGCTACGACAGTCGCAGTCAGTACCAGAGCGCTGCGACTACAATACGAGAGTGTTATTATCATCTGCTACTGCGTTGTTGTTAATGCAGGATTGTATCAATAGAGAATTACGATTTCAGCACTAAGTATTCGAGTGACAGTGTATTGGGATACCACTACACCAGGATTACACGACCTTCAACCCAATCAGTTTTACAGTACGGCTACCTCTATTACTACTACGACTACTATCACTGCTGCTACTACTACTACACGTACTACTGCTAGAAGTCGTGCTGCTGCTACTACTACTAGGACTGCTACTACTACTCCTCTTCCTCCTACTACTACTGCTAATACTGTCACTATCACTATCACTATTACTACTACTACTACTACTACTACTACTACTACTACTACTACTACTACTACTATTATTACTACTACAACGACTACGACTACGACGACTACTACTTCTACTACTACTACTACTACTAGTAATACTACTACCTTTGTAATTATTACTACGACGACGACCAGTGTTACAATATCTAGGACTACTACTGCGACTGCTACTGCTGCTACTAATACTACTACTTTTGTTTCTAGTGTATTCTTATTACTACTAGTACTACCACTACTACGGCTACCATTATTGTTATGATTACTACTACGGCCACTACTGCTACGATTGCCACGCGTACCATCATGAATATTACCCATACTCGTATTTCTCTTACTGCTACAGCTTCTACGGCTCCCCCCACTACTACTACTACTGCTACTACTACTAGGGTCACACCTGACTTATGGCTGGTGAGGTTTGGATGTGGGTTTGGGTTTGAGTTTGGGTTTGGGTTTCTTTGTTTTCTACTGGAAACCGTTTGTTTTAATTTGTTCCCTATTGAAAACCACTGGTTTGGCTTCGTTTTCTATTGAACACCTATGGTTTTGATTAGTTTTCTGTTGGGAACCAATGGTTTTAATGAGTTTCCTTTGGGAACCAATGGTTTTTATTAGTTTTCTATTGGAAACCAATGGTTTGTATGAGTTTCTATTGGAAACCAATTGTTTTAATTAGTCATCTATGGGGAACCCATGGTTTTTATTAGTTTGCTATTGGGAGGCAATTACTTTAATTAGTTTTCTATTCGGAACCAACGGTTTTAATTAGTTCTCTATTGGAAACCAAGTGTTTCTATT